CTTTTACAGAAGCTGTGCTCATCATAACAAGAACATCACATTTATCCAGGCGCCTATTAATTCTACTCTTTACAGTATTTTCTTTACAGTATTTTCTGCGAGCTTGTCCAGTATGAGCATCAGGCTTACAGGCCTGCAGCAGTACCACAGATCTTCACCGGAATCTTTTAAAGCAATTTTTGTCTCACACTTCTAGTCCTCTTCTAGTACCAAATCAGGGTAAATGAACTGAGTTATCAACAGCGTCATACTATGTGTTTCATTTCTGAGTACACTAGGAAGTCTTGGGTATCACTTCATTCTTGTCATATATTTCTATCTACTCTGACAATCTATACTTCCATAGTCACCCAAGCTTCAGATGTTTTCTTCTGCCACCAAGAAGGGTCTAGTAATAATTTTATTTGGCTTTTCTATAACAGCCTCACCTTCTCTGAAGGTTTCTCCATCTCTGAACACTCCTTGAGAACAAGTCTTCACAACTAAGACCCACTTCACAAACAGCTTAAGGGTCTAGTCTCAAACTCACTGCATTAACTAGAATACACTTGTGCACTGACACTGGTAACTCAGTTGGCTTGTTATACAGGTAATGCTCCTTTTTACACTCACACGGGCAATGCAAATTGACAAAATTTTCAACACCAACATAATGGTGAAAGTCGTATCAGACAGACTTTTTTTGCATTCTTACTACTTTGTACCTTTTTCTCCTGATTCTTCAGTCGTTCCTGAAGCTCCTTTTTCTCTTTCTCCAGCTGTTCAACTTGTTTAGCCATAATAAAGTCAGGATCCAACTCTTCAAGATCCTACAATCAAGTGGTCAACACAAAACAAAACAAAGGTTGTCACAATTGCTGTTTCCACCGTTCTTTTAAGCTTCTCTGTAGTTCTCAACTGAGTAGGAGTAATTTGCTTTAGAATCTTTCTCAGTTTATTTTACTCTCCTTTGGGTAATTAGTAATTTATTTTTAAAGCTTTTTATCCCAATTTCTGAGACAATCCAGATATCCACAAGTAGGATCTCAATGTCTGTTTCATATTTTAACTCTTGTACAAACAATACGAGGTGGTGGGAAAGATAAGCACTCATCTGTGCGCTCCTCCTCTAAACTGCTGAACTTCATTCCTCCAGGTAGGAATAGGTCCTATCCAAACTCAGTCTCAAAATTTACTCACATTGTTGAGCAAATTAAGTATTTAAATGTCAAATTTGCAATCTTTTGACCATTTATAAAACCAGTTACAGCATAAAACCAGCAGAGAATTGGAGAACAGTGGAATTCTGACAGCCCTAAGAGCGTAACAACACAACATAAAAAAATAACTTAGTACTTCGATACTAAGTTCCATACCTCAATGTCAATATCTTTAAATGCTTTGGCTCCCAGTTCAGTCTTCTTTATCTGCTCCAGGCGCTCCCGAACCGTCTTCTTTTTGATTTGCTCATGCTCTTGCAGGATACGCTCCTTCTCCCTTTCCTTTGCTTCCTGGCGCAGTCTCTCCTCTTCTGCTTTACGGACTTTTTGTAGCTCTGCTTCGCGCTGCTCCAGCTCTTCCTTTTCACGCTGGATGTTCAGACTTTCAAGGCGCTCCTTCCTTTCCTCTATAGTCTGACGACGTGCAAGGATACGCTGATGCTCCTTCCTCGAATTCTTTAAGAAGGCATTGACTGCTAGCTGATGTTGTTCTTCCTTCTCTTGCTGAATTGGTATTAATGAGAAGACAATATGTGACATCTCTTTAGAAGGCACAAAGAACAGCAAACACTTCTCAATGAAAACTCCTCTTTAGAAGGCACAAAGAACAGCAAATACTTCTCAATGAAAACTCTCTTTTCATCAAACTTGACAACTGCATGAAAA